ACACACACACACACACACACACACACACCTTATAATCGAAAAGAAACCACAAGGAAAAAGCAAAACAAAAACGACACGCCACTTTCTAGCAAAGGTCTGAACAATCAAGGGCCCCAAAATAAAACAAAATACATTGTATGACTATAACATATGCCTTTCTCAAAAACCTAATTTTCACAATGGGATTCACTTTGATTTTAAAGTATAAAAATAGTCAAACTAGTTTCAAAGACTGCTCATTCTAGCACTAGAGAATCACAAATACTTAATACAACCACATAATATTGTGCTTTGCACAAACCTTTTTTCTTATGAAGTAATGACCAATGATTCATGGTTTAGGTGGCACCAATCTTAGATATGGTCTCTACTATACATTATCTAATTATGTAACAAAGCAAACAAATGTAATTTAACAAGGGGTGGGGGAGAACATTTTCTCTTTAATATTACAGAAACATTGCTTGCCTATAATAGTCAAGCATGATTCTAAAAGAAGCATTCAAACCAATGTGAACTCTACAGGCAACTCATTCTCATGTCTGGTACGTGCATGAGAGAGTAACAGATAAAGAGGAGGTGCTTGAACTCCAGCCCCACCCTCTCTTCTCATCTGCCTTCCAGTCCTCCACATGAAGAAAAACTCATTGTGGAAACCAGAGACTGAACAGCAGGTTGGGTTCTAAAAGCCTCACATGTCTACAACAAAGTGACAGGCTATGACTAAGATCTCAACGAGACAAAGATGATCACGCCTCAAATCACACAGCGATGGGAAGCCAATTAAAGGAACAAGAAACTGAAATGAAACCAGGCTGGTTGGTGGAAATGTCACGCCACTCTTCTTCGTGAAGAACATCATCAACCGTGTATGGATCCTTCTTTCATGAAAGGCTCAAGACTGAGGTCAAGAATCTTCTGAGCAATTTGGAACTGTGGATATGAAGAACAAACATCTAAAAATCAACTTCCTGTGCCGGTAAACAAGGCGGCTATTTATTCAACCACACACAAAGCATCCACCATGCCTTGTTGAGAGGAAAAAGAAGGTAAACTGATGTGGTTTGCTCATGCAAATGCTTGCGTGCGCTTTTTGCACTTTGACAGTAGGATTACGCAACATCTGAGTGGTAAGAAGCTCCTTCTGGCAGCTTTGTGAAATGTATACACACTGAATTTGTATACCTTTTCATGGAATTTCATGTTTTGGTTCTGACCTTTAAAAGCGCTGACTGACTCCTTTTAAGCCAAACTCTAATCGATGACAATGACCGAGAACAATTCAAACACAAACTGCACCAAAGATGACTTTAAATATGTGTTATACAGCTCCGTTTTCAGTATTGTCTTTATTCTTGGGTTGCTCTTCAACATGGTGGCCTTGTACATTTTTGTTTGCAGATTGAAAATGCGCAACGAGACCACAACATACATGCTGAACCTTGTGGTCTCAGACACCCTCTTCGTCTTCAGCTTGCCTTTCAGGACGTTCTACTTTATTAACCGTCAGTGGCCTTTCGGCGATGCTCTCTGCAAAATCTCAGTGGCCTTGTTCTACACCAACATGTATGGCAGCATCCTCTTCCTCACGTGCATCAGCATGGACCGCTTCCTGGCGATCGTTTACCCCTTCGCGTCGAGAACGTTGAGGACCAAGCGCAACGCTAAAATCTCCTGCTGTGTGATCTGGGTGGTTCTGCTGTCGGGAGGCCTAACCGCAAGTTTCGTAATGGACACCACTTCGTATACAAACAACAAAACGTACTGTTTTGAAAACTACTCAAACTCCCAGTGGAAGTCCAAGGTATCGAAAGTCGTGGTGTTTATGGAAACTGTGGGCTTCCTGATTCCACTGATGATCAACTTTATCTGCTCCATGAGGGTCCTACAGACCTTACGACACCCAGAGAGCATCAGTCGCGGAGGGCAGTTGAAAAAGGCTAAGATATTGCGTATGATTGTGGTGCACTTGCTAATTTTCTGTTTTTGCTTCATTCCGTACAATGTCAATCTGGTCTTCTACACACTGGTCCGAAGTCAGGTTATTACACACTGCACTGTGGAGTCAGTGGTCCGGACAATTTATCCAATTGCATTTTGCGTTGCCGTAACCAACTGTTGCTTTGACCCAGTGATCTATTACTTCACCTCCGAGACGATTCAGAACTCTATTAAACGGAAGTCTTACGCTGTCCGCAAAAACACGCTAAACGACACAATCGACAACAGAGTTAACAGAAATGATTCCATAAATAAAATCACATCTCTTAAAGTTAAATTCATCATTGAAGAGTCTACAATATAACCAAAGTCCAGGCATAAATTGTTTTTTATACCCATTTTATAATAAATTCTTATCTGACATACTCTGCCAATGTTAGCAATTGGTTGGCAGAGGAAATATTGACTGATAACCAACTGAAGACTGCTGAACTTGCAGAAGTATGAAGTTTGAGTATCATCTTGGTGCTAGAATGGATGCGTGTTTACAGGCTTAACTCAACTACCATTTTCTTTAATGGATTATTGAACCTGTAATTGTATAAGAACTGTATATGACTGAGACCTGACCAAGAAAAATCAGTATTTCTGTACAAAGTGCTTCATTTCAAGACAAACAACAGATTAAATAAGCCTTAAACTTTCTTGCTTTACATTGAAAAAGTCTAAATGTATCATGAATTAATAATGAATATTTTTTTACAGCATTTAATAATCCAGGTTCATTTATTTTATAAATAACTATAAGTTAATTCATGCTCGTTTAAAATACCCTTAATTTATACAAAATGTATAGAAATTAAATTAAATGCTGTTGTTCATTGTTTTTTCATATAAGCTACTGAATTAACTAAACATTAATTGAACCTTATTGTAAAGTGTTACTATCTAAACAAAGTTCAAATGTATTTTGTTTTACATTTCAATGTATTCATGCAATAAACCTCTAGTTTATGTATAGTAATATTCAGCAAAACTGCCAGTCTCGTATAACAAATGACACTTGGGATAAAAATGTTCAGATAAAATATTCCCATGTGTCGTTTCATGTTTATTCCTGGGCAATTCAGACAGTTTGTATTGTTTTCCAAGCCAAATCATGATTAAGGTAAACAAATTCCATTATATCCGTTTAGTCTGAGGACAAACGGGAAGAGGAAAAGGGAGTGACTCAGAGAACGATGACATTACGTGGGCTTTGGTCTACCGATTATATCAAGGTTTGTCAATGTAAGAAATTAAGCTGATGACGAACAGGTCTGCAGGGTGTGCCGCTTATATGCGGTTAGAGATTTACCCAGCAATAGCTCAAGCAGTATTTTTCATCTTTTTATTATATTTATGACAATTTCTGATTTACATTATCTTATTCTTTTATTTTTAAATATCAGTTTTAAAAACATATGATGAATGAACTGAATGTCCCAAATCAAAGCTGCATTTCAGGAGCATAGGACAGGACTGAACGAGCCCTGCTCCATCACTCACACTGCATTCCTTGCGCAATCCCATGCCCGGGGGCCACGCTCACAAACACTCAAAATCATACCTCTAAAGGGCATTTTAAACAGTATGCGATAGGCAGCAGGCTTTGCATGTGATCTTGCTGCCACACACACAGGAGCCTGAATGGAATGAGCCAGTGCAACACTGGCCAAGACAATTCCAGCTCAAAGCTTAAGTTAAAAACTGCATTTCTGAGAGTGATTACTTTAAATGTTGTTCTTTTTTTGATGTAAATGTGAATAAAATGAACAAAATTTCAATTAAATGTCATTTATTTCTTCACAGTGTCTTGCATGCACATAAAAATAGGACAAAGTTACAAAAAGAAATGATTCACAAAATGTCAGAACTCAGGAAATTAGGAAACTGTGACTATGCTACCTAAAATGCATTTTTGGTTATAAATAAAATGCCTAGTCAGAGGAAACTGGTAGATTCACAAAAATAGTATTTTTGTTGTGTGTGCCACTAGCAGCAGGATTTCTGTGCATTAACTTGGCAAGTGGTTCCACTTCCAGAGTGACCCTAAAAGGCATTAAATGCATGTGTGAAAATCTACAATGTGTCAGGGTGTGCCATCAATAACAGGTCCTTAACTTAAGTAAACATAAGAAGATAAAACAGCCATTTAATCTGATACTGCCTGTGAATGTTTGTGATGATCCGTCAAGATTTGATTCTGAGAAAACTGAGGAAATCGTTCACTGGATCAGATGAATCAGATGAGTTTTTGGACATGCATAGACCAACTAAACTAATTTTTCCTGTGTAGTGCTTAACATTTAAATAGGCCAAAACATACACTGTCCTGGAAAAATCCAGCTAGACAGCACAACACATCCTTGGACCGAGACAGACAAGTGAAAGCAAGTTACTAAAGGGGTCAAAATACAGTAAACAAAATGAAATAATTCAGATAGCTATAATGTCACTTCATAAATTCATTTTGTTGTAAAATGATGGCATACGACGTAAACATTACTAAATCAGTTTTGTAGTTTAACACATTTTTACTAATGCTTTTCAGTGATGCGCAAAAGTCATTTTTGATATTTTGGCAAAACCTCATCTACGTTAGCCAATTAGATAACATTGTCTTTGTGAGAAATCAGCAGAATTTGCAACAGCAATGTACAAGCTATCACAGAAAACCAAAAAAGGTTGTACAAGATCAAAGTAAAAGGTAAAATACAGTGGCATTTTTCTGTCAACTGACCTCTTGTTTAAGTCCTTTGAGGTGTTTTGTAAATCACCAATTTTTATATAACTGTGTGAATTCAGTTTGTTCCAAAAACAAAAATTAAGTAATAGAAGCAAAATTTAAATTAATTTAAATTCGCAGTAAACAAAGTCTTATATTCTGTTTTACTTGTACATGTGAAGAAAACATACGTTTTTAAAATTGAAACAGTATGATTAACAAAAGTTTCCAGCTGTATATGCGTTTTTTTTTTTGCTTTCTATTTTAAGTAGATTGCGTCTGTATCCAGAGCTGAACCTACTATATTAATAATAAATCCACTCCCCCATCCAGATTTGAAGTTATATGGCACATGCATACACACATTTATTGATTTAGTGTGACTATATATATATATATATATATATGTATGTATGTATGTATGTATGTATGTATGTATGTATGTATGTGTATGTATGTGTATGTATGTATGTGTATGTGTATGTATATATATATATATATATATAAAGACTTAATATCTGTTAAAGGCACCTTCACTCAAGCTTGAGAGTGAACAGAGCATGTTCAACTAACCAAGAGAGATCGGAGTGAAGATTTAGCCAAAGATGGATGAGATAAAGCAAAATGGTGAGTTTATTTTTACTTTATCTATGCTATCTACAATCTAGAAGTGCTATCTACAATTTTCCCATCAAGACAGGGCTGCTCTATGAGTTTGTTAAAGTTTATTTATCCTATATACACTCAATGTAATAATAAAATACATTTTCTAACCAAAACTGCCACATTATGCGCATTTCTATTAATACATAGCATATAACATAAGTAGCATATTTAAACAGACTTAAATGATAAAATCTACTCAGATTTTGAACAAAGTTAGAGATAAATTAAAATTATAAACACTGAATGTTTTTCCATGTTTTTATACTAAATGTTAAACCAAACATTTCTGAAAGTATTAATACAGCAGACAAAATTAATTATTTCTATTCAATCAATTTAACATGCATAAGACAAATTTAAATGTGCACATTAACTATGTGCGCAAACAACAAGCAACGGCTGCTTTCTAAATGAAGTCCTCCTCTGTCATAATTCAATCACTTTACATTTCCTTTTCATAAACCTAGGTCATATAGACACAGCCGCCCTGGCTGATTATGACCAGGTGAGAGCAGGTGGTTCGCTTTACATGAAGAGGAAGTTGTAACTTTGTAAATTTCCTTCTACGCTTTGAGGTGGCTATATGAAGAGATGCCTTCTGGATTGTAACCAAATGAATAAAAGTCTAACTCCATGGTGCCCAAAACCTCTTATTATATTACAGTTCAAAATGTTAGTATTGGTATAACCATACAGCTATTTCCCCTCTTGCCAAAGACAGGTTCCTCATTTGGCTCTGGACTGCAAGAAGCAGGTTTTGACTGATGCAAACCAAGGCCGGCCAAGCTGAAAGTGATCATGGATCTCCATAACACAACGTACATATCTATTCAAGCCAACTGCACGGTGGACACCAGCTACCGCTTCATCTACTACAAGATCTCCTACAGCGTGATCTTCATATTCGGCATAGTCAGCAATGCCACAGCACTGCGGCATTTTTGCCACATGCCTCGGACGTTCACCAGCACGGCCGTCTACATGGCCAACCTGGCCGCTGCGGATATCTTCTTCGTGATCTCCCTCCACCTGCGCATCTATTATTACCACAATAAAGCTGCCACTACCTTCAACCTCACCGACGACTGGTCTCCAGGAGGTGCTTTCTGTCAGCTGACCTTCACGTTGAAGTATATCAGCCTATACGGCGGAATCTTCTTCCTGGTTTGTATTGGAGTAGACCGCTACTTTGCCGTGGTTCACCCTCTACATCAGCATCTGAGGAAGGTTCGCACCGCCCGCATGCTCAGCATTGGGATCTGGTGCTTGGTTCTGGCACTCAGCCTAACTCTGCCCTTTCTGTATTCGGCAGCATCCCGATGGCACAAGTCATGCCTCTTGGATCCATCTTCCAAACGCCACCGTACTATAATCCTAGCTGCTCTCGGCTTGGTGCAAATCGCCTAACTGTTGCCCGCGTTGCTCCTGCTGTTCAGCTACTGCAGCATACTCTGTGTGCTCCGCAGGCTGCCGCACCGCAGGAAGATCTGGCACCGACGCACACTCGCTGTCATCTACTGGGTCCTGGTGGTCTTTTTTCTCTGCTTTACCCCTTATCACCTCAATCTGCTAGGTTACACTCTTACACAAGTGGGCCTTGTGCACAGCTGCGGCCTGGCTCACGTCACAAAAGTGCTTCATCCCGTAGTGCTCTCACTGGCCAGCACTAACTGCTGCCTGAACCCCCTTATTTACTATTTTCTAGTAGTTTGGTACACAAAGAGCCGACCGGCAGCAGAGGAAGTGCTAGTCAATGAGGTGTTTGCTCAGGAATGGAGCATGAAAAGTTTTAAACATCATTTAAAGGAGACCTGTTATGCCCTTTTTTACAAGATGCAATAAGTCTCAGGTGTCCCCAGAATGTGTCTGTGAAGTTTCAGCTCAAAATCCCCCACAGATCATTTATTATATAATTTTGAAAATGCCTAATTTGAGTGGAAGCAGAAACATGCTGTTTTCGGTGCATGTCTCTTTAAATGCAAATGAGCTGCTGTTCCCCACCCCCTTTTTCCAGAATAGGGCTGTGCCTTTATAGCTTGTACCTCAGATACTCTGCTAAAAAACATCTGTTTGGTTTTAATGATGTCTATCACGTTGAAATCATGCGTTTTAAACCATATCAGTTTAAACTTTTGATATACAGTTTTCTGAGCACACATATCTGAAGCACGCGCACAGAAAGTGGCTGTCACACAGCATGTGAGTACTAAACTAAGTTCTCTGTCATGTCTTATTGCGCTTAAACTGTCAAATACACACAAATTTGTTAAAAACACACGAGTTACAAAAACACAGTCAGTTATGTTTGTGAAGTTAAACAGCTATGAAAGAAATCGTACTTTTATGTAAGATCTGTGTGTAATATAATAATAATATACAGTAAATAAATCAATAAATCCACTGGCTCTCTTGTCTCCTCTGAGGCTGGGACTCTAAATAGTGTTCTGTGCTCGTCAGTGCAGCCAAAGACAGAACAGTTAGCATGCTTTGCTCGAACTTTCGCCATGGCGTTAGAACTGGTACACTGTTGTCGCTTGCAAAAACAATGGCTTGCCATGGGTGGAAACTTGCAGATTAAGTGGCGGTAATATTATAAGATCCCCTTTCTATGTCACGGGAGGAGCAAAGTCTGAGTGTCTCGTTTTTTCACAAGCTT